TAGTTATTTATAATTTTAAGTGCTTTATGTGGAAATAAATCACAGCTTTCTTTCAATTACATACAAATAGTCCACAGTTTACTAAAAGAGTTAAAAAATACTTTGAAAAATACTGTTTTCCTTTTTCTTTGCATCTCACGTATTAAGTTTCCATTTTCTTGCCCTTATTAATCCCCGTTTTTCCTCCTCCCTCCTTTTTCCTGACTGCCAAATACATGTTAAAATAGTAATGATTTTTAAATATAAATGTGAAGCATCACGCACTTACTTCTCTTAGAAGATTCCAGAACACACTAGAGTAGGTTTTAGCAGAACCATCATCATGCCCAGTCCCATGACTCGAAGACAGTTTTAGACGCCCCACGGTCAGTGAGTTCTGTGGTCCCCGTTGTGTGTACTCAACACCGTGGAGTGTATGAAATTTATTTTGATTCACACAAATCTCAGAAGATTTTGTACCAGTTATAAAACAATTTTAGGAATAGCCTAAATACCAGTAATTACAGCATTACTCAGGTGGTCTGAATATTGGAAATCCTTTTAACCTTCTGATGTCCTCAGCTCTCTAGAGAATCAAGCTAGGTTTACTCTTTTGGTTTTCATGGTAAGAGTCTTTTTAGCCAGCGTGAAGCCCTGGACACAGTGATCATTTCTGATGCTCTATCATATAGTTGGGAAGCATATTAAGATTACATCCAATGCTGCATCATTTGCATGGTTATCTGTGATGACTGTTAGGTGCACAGTAAAATATGTTTGGTTTAAAATGTGTCACATTGTGACTATCAGCCATCTGATATTTGTATCATTTATGTAAAATAGAATACATGTTTCTCAGCATGTAAGGATCCTAGGAACTTAGTACCTCGAGTTAAAGGAAGCACGAAGCAGCCATGATATCATGGATAAGGTGTGCCATGAGTGTGGAACTTAGAGTTGGAAGATCTGGGTTCAAGTTCCAGCTTTCCCACTTACTACTTTTGTGACCTTGGCCCCTCACTTAACCTCTCAGAGCCTTGGTTCCCTTGTTTGAACATGGTGGTATAACCTGCTATTTCAGGAGGTAGTTGTGAATTTTGTTTGTTCATACTCTATCTTATTCCACAAAGGATTTGAAATGAAATGTGTGTATTTGGAGATAAAACCTATTTGCTAGTGCTTCACAGATTGTACAGCTATAAGCTACCTGCCGTCACTGTTGGGGCCATTTATATTCCTGGGGAGCTCTATCCCTGAGGATGGAAGTGCTTCTAAGGAGCTGTTCCAGAGACTTCCGTTTGATGATTTCAAGTAAAACAAATATTTATCCATGCATGACATAGACTAGTTATAGATGCCAATTTAAAATAAACCTACACGAAGGCTATACAAGACCTTTTTCCCTTTCTTAAAGTTTCGTTTAATTTTTTTTTTTTGGTGGGGGGAAGTAATTAGGCCTGTGTATTTATTTTTAGAGGAGGTGCTGGGGATTGAACCCAGGCCCTCATACATGCTAAGCGTGTGTTCCAACACTTGAGCTATACTCTCTCCTGCCTATCCAAGACCTTTTAATTGAAGACCATTTGTAGCTAATAAAAATATCAGATGCTCGCTTACGTCTCACGCATTAGTACTTAACTGAAAAGGCTACACATGACAAAAAGCTCTTAAGGATTAAGTATGTGTTTTCAGTACCTTAGTATCTTATTAATCATTAAAAAACACACAAACATTTGGGAAAAGAGTAGAACTCATAGATGTGAGTTATTTTTACTCAGCTTAAAGACTATGCTTTTGTTGCACTTAGAATTGGTGGATACCTTCCAATAATACAGGGGCTTTGAAACATCAGTGGCCTACCAGGTCCTTTAATTCCTTTTATTATCATGTGCCATTTGCCTTCATCTTGGGTTGCTAACTGTGCTTATCTGTCCTCTGCATCTAAAGCCTCCAGAAAGATTGCTCTGGCATGGCCTAATAGCTTTTATCAGCTCACCCAGTGGCTCTTAAGCTTTGAAGCTTGAAATCCAGGAGTTACTCACACAGTGCCAAGCCCTCCTGAATAAGTCAGCTATTTTCCTCGGTACATGATTGTTGTTTATGCCAAGGCAGCTGCAAACCCCTCTCCTTCCCTTTGTTAAAGTGAAATGGAACCTTAAGGACAGGTGGCTATTTGGTCACATCCTCTCCAATTCCCATGGCTTAATCTTGCCTAGAGAGGAATGACTGGGCCTGTTATGATTGGCTGCAAGGTTAGAGCCTTTTTCTCTTTATCCTATATTTTAAGCTCCTTTGATTTTTCTCCCTTTAGCATCTCTATAGTATATTTGGCTGATAGGAAAATGGTTCATAATCTTTTAGCTTGTCTGATAAGTATGCTTACTTGTCCTCCTTTTCCATAGAAGTTGTCTAGGGAAATTTATTCAGTGAGCTTCTGTTTAAAGGCCAAGTTCAAAATAAACTAATGTTTCCTAAACCTTGAAACTCTTGAAAACATTCACCTGACATTATAGTCCATGGTATATAGAGAAATTATAAGAATCATGCAATAGATTTTCCCCTCCTTCATACTACAGGAAACTGCATTTTCAGTGAAGACATGAGGAATACAGCCTTGATGAGAGCTTTCCGATAAACATTATGTTCAACAATTATAATTTCTCTGAAAATTAGTAAAGTTTGGAGACTCACATGCAAGAGAGAGAGAGAGAGACACTACACTTGAGTGGTTTAGATGCTTTGACTTCAAGGTAGGATCGATCTGCAGCTGAATTCTGGGTTTCCACTTGCCAGCTGTATATCCTTGAAGAGTTATGCAAACTCTCTAAGACTTCATGTCCTCATATATAAAACAGTGATGATGCCCCTAACTCACAGGATTTTCCAAGGATAAAGTGGGGCAAATATGTACAATACCTAATAAAATGGTGGGTTAATAGTAGCAGCCGCTGTTGTGTCTTTCTTTCTTTCTTCCTTTCTTTCTTTCTTCAAGCTGAGGGCGGAAAGAAAGGGAAACTAACCTGGGAGACTGGACTTCTTTTAGAATCCCTTCTGCTAAAATCAGTTTAGAAATTCTCTCTCAGAAAGACCATACTCTCGGGGTGGGAAACAGGGAGGCTGCCCTGGGAGAGCTGGGCTGAGAGGCGGGATGCTGTGCTGGGAACGCCGCTGCCCAATTCCAGACGGAGTTGGCTCTTAGCAGCATCATGTGATGTGACGGTACCACCTGTCCTGGACAGGGTGGGTGACTTCGCTGCGCTTGACAATACATCCCGCCACTTTTTATTAGCAGTCTTCATCCTCTTCTTGTCAGCAAATCTCTTGAGTCTCTTCCTCCCTCTCTCTGCTTCTCTCCTCCATGGAAAGAACTTAAAACCCCATTTGGGGTGTTAGAGAAGCTAAAGGATTTGAGTTTAAAACAATACAGGGAGTGGTTGAGTGCTTCACCCACCCCCATGCTCCTCTTCCTAGCCCTGCGCACACCGATGTAGCGCCTTTCTTTCAAAGAACCAGAATTCATCTTTAATTCGCCTTTTGCCATTTACCCTGTGTATTTAATTGGCCCGGTGATTGCCTTTGCTTACATTTAGCATTTATCAGTCACAACGAGCAATGCGTGTTACAGTGTGAACAGAAAATTCCGCAGGACCCTCTTCACACTGGGGAAAGGGAACATCTGCTCCTTTCCTATTAGGATGCCAGGATTTTCGAGGTCAGTGTGTTTCCCCATCAAGGCTTAAGGCTTTGGGGATCAGGGGGAAGTGTCAGGCTCCAAGCAGCATAATGAATGGCAGTTGCTGACTGGCTGGGTTTGCCTGTTCTCAACGGGGGCTAGAGAATTCAGTGTAATGAGCTGGGACTGTGTGCTCAACACACCCGGCTTGGGGAGCGAGGCAGGCTGTGCTTATTTTTTTCCCCTGGTTCAGAACTGTATTTTCATCTTGTAAGAAATTATATTGAGGTCTTCATTAGTGGCACCCAGCAGGGTTAAGGCTCCATGAGGGCTGATAAGCTGGATGACTAAAAAACCCATCAGCCTTTGTGCCGGGAGCAGAAGGTTTAAGTTGCTTGGACTGGAAAGAGTCTGAAGAGGTGATTATTTTCAGCAAGTAATGTCTTAGTAACATGGGATCAGATTATTAGGGTCAGTAACTTCCTGACTTTCCTAGTGCATTAAATGAAGACATAACATTGCATTTGCACCGGGTATGTCTTGATGCCACCCGGTGTCAGCACTGTGTGGTCATATGTACTTCACAGCGTGTCACCTCTAATTTCATGGGATTATCTACGCTGTTGCTTTAATATATACTCATGATCTTGAGCCTCCTTTGAACTCACAGCAGGGCAGTGCAAAGTAGTTATTGGGAGCACATCTGTGTTTATTTTGTGTTAGATACAAAATTATTATTATATGTTATTACATTTAGAAAGGTAGATCTATCCTGCTCTCATGCTTCCAAAAGGGTCCTCTTATTTGATGGTAAGGGGAATTACTGAAGGGGAAAATGCTGAATGCAAAAGACCTTTCTGGAGACTAGTATTAGAAAGGTGTCAAGGCAAGTGAATTAGTATTAGAAAGGCATAGAGGACAGTGGAACATGGAGTATGGTCCCCTGGCCAGCAGCGTAAGAGTCACTCAGGAACCTGTTGGAAATGTACATCCTCCCAAATCAGAAACTCTTGAGATATGCTCAGCAGTCTGTGTTTTAACAAGCCTTCCATGTTCAAGTTTGAGAAACGCTGCTCTAGCATTTATAGTGTGCAAGAATTGGGCAGACCCACATGTCCTGCGGGCAGAGCAAGAGACAAGACGGATGTCGCATCTCCCCTCGTGGACCTCACTCAATTACAGAGGAGTGTGTGGTGCTGCATCCTGATGTAGTGTTCATACATACCCAACAAAGCCTGTCATTATCCGCACCCTTTTATTCTGTGTTTGAATTAGCCTGATATCTTCTTTGGTTTCAGAGAAATTACTAGCAAAGGAGGACTAACAAGCAATTTTTCGTGCATTTCAGAACCATCCCCCTTGCCATATGTATATCCATGGCCATTGTCACCGTTGGCTACGTGCTCACAAACGTGGCCTACTTTACGACCATTAGTGCTGAGGAACTGCTGCTTTCCAGTGCGGTGGCAGTGGTAAGTCGAAGTTGGGAAAATGCCAACTGGAATTTAGGTTAATGAGTTGATGCAGTTTTATACTAGTGTTTTGAAATTCAGTAATTTTTGCAGAACTGAGTGATAATGAATATTTAAAAAATTTAGGACACACCGTGGCATCTTCCGTTTAACTGGTACAACTAAAATCCTCTATGATTTTTCTGTATTGTTAATTTCATGTAAAACATTTCCACCTCTACGTGCTTGAAAACACATTTCCGCACATACATGTTGAATAGAAGGCTTTATTGGAAATCATGAATAGAAGTTTTTAAGGACAGGTGGGCAGTTACTGAGTTTAAATAAATGCCTTTTGGGGTATGCAAATTGCAGTTTATTCTGTGCTCTCTCTTATTTGGACACGTTTCAGATGCTAACTTCAAATCTTTTTCCCAAAGTACCACTTAAGAATTTCTAAGTGGACCATATACATTTGTTTTTACTAGTATGTGTGTATGTGTGTGTGTATGTATATATATATATCCTTTTGAATACTAGTTCTAGGATATTATTAGTGTGGGGAAATACTGAGTTATTCAAAGTTAAACAGATGTCATTGCTGCAGTAGTTCTCAGAATATTATAGAAGCTAATGTGCATTTTAACTCCCTAAGAAGTGAATACTCATAATTTTACAGCATTTTCCAAAATTCATTTGACTTTAGCACCATCTTTGCTCCCGAAGGTCATGTTACGGGTCTGCTATTCTGTGACACACACTTTTTGGTATAAAAACTTAGCTAGTAAGAGAGCATTCATTCATGACCTTCTAACAATGAAGGGTGAAAAAAAAGAACTTCCCGTCACTAGATGTCAGTTCCTTTTAAAATAGTAACTATTGCCTCATATAAGAAACATCCACAGGGAACAAATTATCTCATTTCATGTGAACCTATGTACGAGTTCACTGTACGAAGAAAAGACTTTGCCCACTGCTGTAACTTCTGCCAGACAATCCAGTGCACAAAGCTTCCAGATGTCGGGTCATCATCTCGTCTTACTAGACAAAGTGCAGCGCTTATTCTTTGAGCGTAATGTGGTCCATTAATTACACAGCACCAGCTTTATCAAGGACAAGTAAAGAGTCCCCTGTTTTTTTTTTTTTTTGGAAAATACACCCTTCGTGAAGATTTGCAGTGTCGCACATGCCAGGGAATAAAAGGAAACGTCATAAGTTTGGTTTATCTTTTATATTTCTGTGGCTTGATTTCCTCAGACTTGTTTTGGTGTTTTAGCCTTATAATAGGAAACTGCAGAAGAAATTGGCAGAGACACCTGAGAGGGCAGGAGTGACTCGATAAACCAAGATTGAGCTAATGTGATTATTCTGGGCAAAAGATTTTCAGAACTGCTCACATCTCTGATATACAGGATTAGGTCATCAATTACTTTTCACCACACTTTTAAATCACGACAGTGGAATTGATATATGAAACACGTATCAGTAACACTTCTCAGTGTACCATTGTACTTCACTATTAAAAATGTGGCTTTCCAGACCAAAGAGAAGGTATTACACACAGAAGGACTTTTGTCTCCAAAAGGAGAATCGAGCTTTTTTTTTTTTACTTAACAGAGTCAGAGATGATAGATATCGCAGCTGATAAAAATTTGATAAATGAATCACTGTTTTTTGAAAGAGATAAGGTGCTTGCTTAGACCATTGCCAATAGTTTTGCAACAAGCAATAACATAGTACCTGCCTTTGATTATTGTCTTAAGAGGTTAGTCTGACCCTAACTCAAAAGAAGGATTATAAAACATACGCATATCACCAAGTGAACAGAAAGTCATAGAGTGAGTTTGGCCTAAATTGTTTCATTTTATTCCACTTTCTGGCAAAGCATTAATTTGCTTCATTCTGTGTTTCACTAGACCTTTTCTGAGCGGCTCCTGGGAAATCTCTCATTAGCAGTTCCGATCTTTGTTGCCCTCTCCTGCTTTGGCTCCATGAATGGTGGTGTGTTTGCTGTCTCCAGGTGAGTGAGTTCAAGCATTTCTAGCAACACATTTCTGTTTTGGAGACTGGATGCAGTAAGGATAGGTTTCAAAGGAAAAGAAATAGTGCCTCCATGCCTGTTGTTTTTAAAGGGACAGGCAACGTGAAGTCTTCCTCCAAGTATCAGCCGCACTTCCTGCTCTGTCCATTAGAGGGCACTGCATGTTTACTCATAGCCTACTTTGAAGTCAGGCATGAAGTTTTGGGGAGTTTGGGGGGGTTGGGGTTTTTTTGGGGGGGGTTAATTGTGTGTCTGCAGTTTAACAACAGCATTTTGTTTCTGGTGATAAAATCTTTTGTTTCTCTAAAAGTGACAAGAAAAAAAGTAAAGTAAGAGACATCACAAATCACCAGCCCACCATCTGTATCCCTTCTGTTTGATGCAGAAGTGCCTTTTGTTTTAACATGATTAAAACTTGATCAGATAAATCTGTGTGTGTACATGTGTTGGGTTGGACTGAATTAACAATACACATGCGATTCTAGGAACCTGGAACTAAATTCACCATCAGCTGTTTATACACAGGCTGAGCTGTGTTGAGCTAGAGGTTGCTATTGTTTCTCCCCAAAGAATCTTGCCAGATTTTGGCCTATTTTATACAGTTCTAAGGCAGATTTCTCATGATGTACTCTCCCTTAGCTGAAAAGTGAAGTCTAAGTAACCACCTAAGTAATATCCAGCCATTTCATGTGAAGAAGATGCAAGTTTTCTCTTAGATTTCTGGATTTTTTTTCACCTTTGAAATGATCAATTGCACAGTCAACTCCACCCCCATTTTTCTCCCATCAGGTTATTCTATGTCGCATCTCGAGAGGGTCACCTTCCAGAAATCCTCTCCATGATTCACGTCCGCAAGCACACGCCTCTACCAGCTGTTATTGTTTTGGTAATGCATATTAACAAGTAGATCTAGATAGAGCCTCGAAGAACAGGTTAGCAAAGAGGATTTCAAACTTGACCTTGGATAGTGCTTTGTGTTCTCCTTCATTGCTGAATTGGCTGTATATGTGTCTTGGTAGAGTTGGAGAGGCAGGATGTTTTCCATCGCTTGCCTTTATCCAGTATTTCTGATACATATTTGATGCTTTGGGGCAATCGCCACATCACTTGTTTTTTACCTTTGTAGAAATTTGTGAAATTGAAAGGAAATGATTACCTTGGCTCCTGTCATTGATATATAGCCTCGCTGAAAAGGTTGTAATGAGTCCCAACTCCACTTACTGAAAGTGGAGCTAAGTACTACAGTCCCCAAATACCCAGATGTCTCATCCCAGGCCCCTTATAATGAAATGCATACAAAATTATAGAAAAAGCCGATGAAATCCTAGACAGTGCAGTGATTTTGTGATTAAAGGTGAGAGCAACTTTGGAGAGCAACCCCAAAGGGAAGAAATAAAAGCCCCAACACTTAAATTTGAGTTGTAGAATTCTTTGTGCAGAGAAAAGTATTGTGAAATGTGAGATATGAAAGACAGTGAGGTGTAAAAGTCCTCAAATCCCCATTGGCAACGTTACGTTCATTTTTACCTACCATTTTGTAACATTTTTCTCAAATGGAATCTGCTGTCAGGAGTGCCATAGAATGCATCCGACACTTTTTTTCCCATGCACTTAATTTGTTTCAAAATGTTTCCTTGAAATTTCTTTGTAAGGTATGAGTACTCTCTGTGTGGAATCTGGACGTTTACATCACTGGTGGGAACAGAATGTATTACTGGGTGCAGAGGGCTTTCATTTTAAGCCTCCACTATCAGTCATGCCATCCTTGGTATGTGCAGCTGTAGGGACTTGCTATGCTGATCTCTGCACTCCCTTCTTTTCCGCGGTCTCGAGGGTCACACGTGGCAAGCACACCGGGAGAGTAAGTGTCGAGGAAGAAAAGGTCAACATTTTGCATTCAGGCGACCACAGAGTCACCTCGAAGTGGCTGTATATCCTGTGTGTGCATAGCCAAGAGCTCATCAGAAACCATCTGCAGAGCGTTCTGCAAATTTTTTAATTGGATGCACTTTTGCTTTTTATTGTTGGTTATTTATTAATCATCTCAATCTCTGAGTCTTTACATTTTCAGTCATTACGTATCCTGTGTTTTCATTCTTTGGAAACATATTCTCTTAACTCAAATGAAAAACTACTAAGAATAAAGCATCCGTATTTGTGTGTGAGAGAATACCAGAGCAGGATATAGCTGAGGGTTAGTTGAATATAAGTTTTTAATCATGATGGCAGTTTATCTTTATAAATAATCATTTGAAAGGATAATAAGGATGTGTAGCGATGTTAGTACTTGTGATCACCTGTGTTCTCTTTTAACTCACTGAGTGTATTTTTCTCTTCCTTCTCCTCAGCACCCTTTGACAATGATAATGCTCTTCTCTGGGGACCTCTACAGTCTCTTGAATTTCCTCAGTTTTGCCAGGTGGCTTTTTATTGGGCTGGCGGTTGCTGGGCTGATTTATCTTCGATACAAACGCCCAGATATGCATCGTCCTTTCAAGGTAACTTCAGCGATCTTGACGGGTTTACATAAATCTTCCTCCTAACACCCAGTCCTCCCTGTGTCATAACTTGATGATGTGGAGCTTGGGTGGAGGACAGCATCCCTCTGGAATAAAATGTTTAACTCTTGCAGGTAGTGCCTTTATATTGGATTTATTTTAGTTTGGAAAAATAGTTCACCCACTTGTTCAAGCGAGGGACTGAACTTTGCATGTCATGTTTTGGAAAGTGGGGGTGTTAATATACAATGTTCGTTATGTGGATTTTTTGTAAATGTGTCTGACGACCTGATCTGCTCAAGGTCTGGGATGCTTCTTTCTTTAAGCTGAATAGTTGTGGCAGCCACGCTGAGAGTGAGGCAGATTCGTGTGGAATCCTCACTGATTAAAACTCTAAAAAGGCTGCTGCTTTAGGAAGTGGCATTTTAAGTATTCTTAAATGTTATGACTTATTACATGGCCTTTTTTCTGCATGGTACACTCCAGAAGGAATAGAAATGTGAAGTGTCCGGGGAAGGCGAAGCTGTTTGAATTTACCACTTAATAGAATGTCCATTTGCCATAATGAAGCATTTCCTTTCAGGAGAGCTGACGAATATGCTTCTCGTCACCTTCAGCCGTGAATGTTCAGGGATTGATTTGACCTCACTTTTTATTTGCTTTTAAGAAATAACACAGATAATGTTGGCAGTCATGTTGTCAGAATTTCTTTCTAATTATATTCATTGCCTAATGCTGGCGACATCTTTATTAGTGGTTGAATAGGAGTTGGCCTGTTTTATCCCTGTTGGGTCGTCTTGTGAGTCTCCAACAGAAAATCAATATGCACTGAAAGGCTTTAATGTGTAACAAGCAGCCCGTGCTCTTGGCTCTCCATTAAAGTGGATTCTAATCATCATGACCAAAGAACCAATCTTTTAAAATCCAAACCATAAATCATAATGGTACTTAATGAGGAAAATAATTCAAACAGAACATCTTGAATGAAATATACTTATTTATCCTTAGATTTTGTTCTTGCCAAAGATTTTGTTGAAAATTTAAAGGAATATGTTGAATACATTCTCTGTGCCCTGTGCAAGAGATTTTGGTACTAACTGCAGTAAGATAGGATGGTGCCTGTCACCTGGTCACATGACCAAAGCATTATCACCTGATCACGTGACTGACGGGCTCCTCTTGGACCCTCTTTGAAATGATTTTCATCTGTGTTGTTCCAGGTGCCGCTGTTCATCCCAGCCTTGTTTTCCTTCACGTGTCTCTTCATGGTCGCCCTTTCCCTTTATTCGGACCCATTTAGTACAGGGATTGGTTTCATCATCACTCTGACCGGTGTCCCTGCCTACTATCTCTTTATTATATGGGACAAGAAACCTAAGTGGTTTAGAAGAATGTCAGGTAAGACTTTTAACCGGTTTCTGGACCTTCGAGAAACCAGGCTGTAGAAAACTCATCTCTGTGTACATCTGCCACACTCATACCTTAAAGTTTGAAAATACCAGTGGGGAAATTGCTAGTTTGAATACATTCCTGCTTTCTAATTAAAACTGGTAGAAGAAAAGGCAGGAAGGATGTTTAGGGTTGGGCCACTGAATCCTTTCAGTATATTTAGTTTGAGTTGCTTCAGTTAATTTTTAGGTAGAATTTCATCAGCAGTTCTGTAACTGACTTAATTGTTCTTCTGATTCCCTTACTAACCTGATTATTTTTATTCTGGGTTGAACGCAGTTTATTGATTCTATATGATAACATACACTTTGATGAGTGATATGAGATTTGGTGGGGAGTTAGGCAGAGCCTGCAAAAATCTTAAATATCATGAGTGTAACACTACCCTATTGGTGACTCACTGGGGGTCATAAGAACAGTAAGAACAAGACAAGGAGAATAACAGCTCAGAGTTATTGAGTGATTTCTGTGTATTAGCCCATATATGACCTTATTTAATCCTTCAAACAACTTTCCGAGGTAGGAAGCATGAGCCCCGTTTCGTAGGTTTTGAGTTCTGGTGAGGGAGAATCCACGTGACGTACTCCAAGTCCTGCAGATAGTACAGAGAAGGCCTAGAATTCAAACTGAGGCACTTTGGTACTTTATAAAAGTCGTCGTGGTGGGGAGACAATGAGGATGGATTAGAGAGCACGAGGCTTCTGGAGACTAGAGATTGGTGGTTACCCCAGTAATTCTACAAGAACTGAGGAGAGCCTGAACACAGGGAATGTTGGCAGGGCCCGAGAGAAAGTGAGAGACAGTAAAGAAGAAAAACCAACAGAGCTTGGTGACCAGGTGAGTTGGAAGAGGAGAAAATACAGGAAATTAATAAGTAGGAAGGATGCTTTAGAAAAGCCTCTGCTGAAGGCCTCTCCCGCGGTCAGGGGCTCTTCCAAGCAAGATCCTACTCTTACATCATCATCTCATTCAGTCCTCCATGAGACCCACGTGTGAGTTGGTTTATTGGGAAAACCAGGGCTCAGGGAGATGGGAATTTATTTTTGAGTGTGTAGATTTTAAACCATTGGGCTTGGATATGAACCCACATCTGCTGGACTTCAGATTCATGCTCTTTTTAGATTGGGTGCCTGAGGGAAGAGAGAGAGAGGTTAAAAAATATATCCAGAGGAGCAGATATGTTCTTACTGGTGAGTTTGGTGAATTTGAAGATCAACTCTTCTTCTCATTCATTTTAATTTACTGACTTTACCATCATTAATGTTTAAAAGCCCAGTAAAATGTTCAGGGAGATTGCTGGTAAAATTATTAATAAATAATGTCAGTGTTACTAAAAATAGAAAAACAAAACCCAACTTTGTAGACATACTGCATCTCTAGTGTGCTGCACAAACTCACTTAGAAGCTGGTCATTTAAAATAGACTTCTGCTACTACTCTTTCTGAGCTTTTAATTGATATTTGGTATCTTTAGACCTTATGCTACTATTTGTACACGAATTTCATTTCCTAGCTGGCAACACTGTTCCCCAAAGAAGCATTACTATAAAAATTAGTTTCTTTAAGGCTAACACAGGCACGCTGGTTGCCTAGCAGGGAATTTAATCTCTGTTTCTTGTTAAATCACACCAGTTTTTTTGGTAGAATGTTTCTAGTTATGTTTTCTCTATTGTAGGCACTAAATAAAGAGCCTTTTCTGTAAACAAACACACAAACACAAAAAACAAGGCTTGTTAAACAGTATTTATCATTAGGATTGCTCATTACCGATGTTCAGGGCAGATTAGTACTCAAAACTGTGAGGTTTGTGTCAATCTCAGATCCTGGCTAGGAGATAATTAAAACCCCAGAGCGTGTGGAAAACCACGAGGATTTAGGAAGAAAGAGCTAGCCCTGGAGGTGGACTACAGTGAGAGAGAGCACGATAAAAGAACAGATTCCTTATTCTTTCCCACTTGTGCGGCTTTTTGGCCCTCCTGTTGGTAGTCAGCCAACTCTAAAAATTCTTCCCTTTTGCTAACATGTGCGTATTTTGTCCCCTTTCTTTGCTAGTATATATCCACTACAGGTTTTCCACTTGCTCCTTCTTTGGTGTTTTTCCATGCTCACGTAATTTTGAAGTTTTCTGTTATTTTTCTGTCTCCAATGACACTTTGAACATCTCCAAGGACTCCAAATTTAGTGTTAGCTATTTGCGAAAGTGGCAGCAATGCAGTGATCCCATAATGGTTATTTGGTTTTCGACAATGCCATCGAGTCTTACCAGGGAGCATGGCAATTCTGCCTTTAAACTGCGATCATTGTAACCCTTTATCTTTATAGCTGCCTTGAAAGTGAGTTTGCAAAAAGCAGCACTCCTCCGTAATTTTGTTTGATTTTCCTCTTAGGCAGCATTCTTGGAGTAAAATAAAGAAAATTCATATTTATTGCAGCAGTAGCAAGTATTTCATAGCCTTTGGCCAAAACAAAACACACACACACAGACACACCACACAGCAGAGTCCTGAACCCCACCTTGCCTCTTCGCCCCACCACCTCCGTGTTGTTAGGAGAAACTCAGTGTGAACTTGGAGGGCAGGGAGCCTCTGCTTGAAGCAATGTGCTCAGATTTACCCTCAGATTGTTTAGTGGGGAAACATTCTTCAGCCTCGATATGATCACTTATCTTCACCCTACTATACATGAACAGATCAGGCCTGTGAAATGATAGTTTATCAAAATACATCTTACCTGGGGCGCTTCCATTAAAAAGACGCAAGGTCACTGAACAGCATTCAGAAAACGGAGCCAGCTTGCTGAGTTCAGATAGCCAGAGAATGCATTAGAGCCCGAGGAGCTGCAAGTTTCAGAGATTTGATGAATTTCTCTGGCCACAGGATGCCAGTATTGAACCACGTTTCGTTTGATAGCATCCCTAGGAAGAGAAGAAAATGTGCTTTTAAGGGAATAGGATACGCAGAAAGCTTTTTTCCCGCCATCTGTGACAGAGTGCTTAATTCTTCTGGATCGCTCTTTATTTATTTATTTATTTGTAGAAACACGAGCTTCCCACCCAAGGGAAATGGGGCAGATACCCCACTGACAGACTCAAATGCGTGGAGAGAGCTAGACCTGCCCGACCCCGGCTCACAGCAGCCGATTTACTTGGCTGCCTCTCTGGATCAGCCAAAGCCCGTCACAGCTGAGAGTTCATAGGAGAGGCTGGGAGCTGGTCCCTCTGGCTCAGGGCAAGATACGGAGGACAGCTGTATTTAAACAAAATCTTTAGTTATGAAGAATTGTACTGGGCAGCACAGGCAGAATGACTACAGTGCATCGTCGTGGACAGCAATTTTGCAGAAGAACCAGAGTCCCAAAAGCATGTACTGCATACAGTGTGTCATGATAAGTTCGTTAATGATGCTTCCCTGAAAGCTGCTGAATGAATACATTTGACAACCTTTTCAGGGAGACTGCGTGCAATGTTTTAAATGAGTTAAGCTTGCCTACATTTGTTAGGAGCCCAAATCATCTTCATGGTAAGGTAAAATGAGACCATGCATGGGAAGAGGTTGTGAAGGTTTAAAAAAAAAAACAAAAACAGATACTATTTATTCTTATTGTGATTTCTGGGAAAGATGGGTTTTGTGCTCAGACTTCACAGGCTCATTCAATTCTGGCTGTAGTTCCTGTGCTCATACCGGTGTGATTGGATAAATCAGATTTTGCAAGGTCAGTAGTTGTTTCAGCTGATTTCAGGAACAATTGCAGAACATGAAAAGCAAAGCTAGAAACACTGCAGTGGCTATCTGGTCTTACAGCTTACCTAACTAAAGACAACAAATGGATTCAATGGCTCAACTTTATTTAGAGAAATATTATCAGGGGGCTGGTTGTCCCCAAAGCCAAAGGCCTTATATGACTAGAGATGTAGTTGCAGGCCACATGATCTGAAGTTTTCCTAGACAAGCAGGAAGCTTCCTCAGAGGCTTACTTGGGTCTGCTGAGCACCCCTGCCTGGCCCCATGGCTGGAGATAGCCTGGGAGGAAAAGTTGGCATGACTCCAGCAGCTACTCAGAGCCAAAATCAATCACTCTGCTCAAACCTCCGTTACGAAAATTATTTAAATCTCGAGATCCCAAGAGGGAGCATAAGAAAGCCACAGGAGAGACTGTCATCAGAGCTGGTGAACCATGAGGGCAAAGAAGGGACTGCATATGTAGAACCAGAAGAGAGATTCCTGGGCCCCAATGTGCTCTTGAATAGAAGATCCAAAGTGAGCTGTCTGGAAGAGGAACGTGGCACGAGGGAATTAACAGGGTCTCTTAAGTGGCTCTCCCTCTGTCTGGAACCCATGCAGTGTTGTGACCTGGGTAAAGTCAGATGTCTAAGAAAGCAAAGGGCCCTGGGGAGGGGCTTGCTCCAGAATACCAAACACGCTTTTGGAAAAGGCTTTTGTTATGGACATGGAGGAACAGATGCTGCATATAAAAGGCAGTTGTATTTACAAAACAGAAACAGACTCACAGACAAAGAAAACAAACTGCTGGTTACCAGAGGGGAAGGAGGTGGGAAGGGATAAATTGGGAGTTCAGGATTTGTAGATACTAACTACTGTATATAAAATAGATAAACAACAAGTTTCTACTGTGTGTAGTATAGGGAACTATATTCAATATCTTGGAGTAACTTAGAATGAAAAAGAATAGAAAAAGGAATATATGTATGTATACGTATGACTGAAACATTATGCTGCACACCAGAAATTGACACATTGTAAACTGACTATATTTCAATAAAAAGACAGTTATAGGGGAAAAAAGAGAAATCTTGGTAGACCAATGCATGAATAGTTACACACACACACACTCAAGAAAGGCAGGAGTTGTGGAGATGAGTTCAGGTAACTACGGCAGGACTTCTCCAGAGGAGGGGCTGCAAAGTCTGTCAGTTTAATGCCACTGCTTTGC